TCAGGAAAATACGGCCTGTAAACCTCGAAGAAACACTGAGCAAATGGAACAATGTGTCAGGAGGTGAAGTTGGTGTAAGGCGGCGTGGTGATTTTAAACAGAGGGCAAAGTGCAGATGTGATTGGTCGTACATGTCAGAGGGATTAGAAATGTCTGCATTTAGCTGTAATCCCAGCAGCACAAACTGGCCTGTCAGGTTTAGGAACAGCTCACGGCTCACTGACACTTCAACTCGCTGTATCATCACATAAGATTCACTTTGAATGCATTCATAGTGTTGATTTATTTTTTCAATGAGTCAAGCGTGATACAGTTGCAGTAAATCTATCAGTGTTGTTTTGAAATGGCCTCTGATTCTCATCTTTCAAAGTGTGCCCTCAGCAAAAATAGCCCAGCAGACTGTTAGTCAGACGCACAAATAGACACACCAGGCTTCTCATCATCAGTGAGCCCAACTCGCTGCCTGCCTCCGTGTTGTTGAAGTGGAAAAAAGCTCACGTTGGTCCTGAGGGATGGAGGTGTGAAACAGAGAAGCGGTCTCAAGTCTTGGTTCATTATTAGCACAAAATTAGGAAGAAAAAGAGAGTTGCTCTTCAAGCGCAGTGACCCGCCCGGCAACATCAGGCAGCTTAACTCCTCGTCATCCCGACATGCTCCTCACGCTGACATTCCCCAGGCATCACACCTCTATTTTGGACCGAACGCAAACATCCTCTGTGGAAAAATGAGCACAGGCGGATGTTTGCGTTCACCTTTCTAGTAAATAATTGTTCATTTAACACGTTCCTAAAAGTGAGACTGCTTTTTATGAGGAGGTTATCCAAGATGCACTGGAGCTGTGGGGGAAAATAAATCCCCCCAAAATTCAATCATCAGCTGTGCTTTTATTCCCACGAGTACTGCTTCTACTGTCACTGTTGATTTGAGCATTTCAGGAAATAATTTTTCCAGGAAAAGCAGAAATATTTGTGGGTGTGGTTAAGGATGTAGAGCAGGTCATCCACTAATTGGAAAGTTTGTAGTTTGATCCCTGGCTGCTGCAGCCTGGACAAGATGCTGAACCCCGAATTGCTCCCAGTACATTCACTGGAGTGTGAATGTTAGAAAAAAGCTGCTTGTATGAATGTGTGTGAATGAGATAAAAGTGCTTTAACCTCCTAGGACCTGGCGTCCACATATGAAGACATCACATTTTGGGTTATTTAGACCAAAATACTCAATTTTGCTCTACAAAGGCCTGAAATCCACTCACGAGGACATTATACTGCTACTGTTCTGTCAGAATTTTAAACAAATATCCTCATGTGTGGCTCCTATTTTTCATAAAAACTCAAATAATGTAAAAAAACAAAATCTGGTAATTCTTTGTTTTTACATTCATTGGGCCCCAATGTGACCAAATATCAAAGAGAAATAAAAGATGCATGCCGTGGAAGAGTTCGGGTCTTAGGAGGTTAAGAAAAGTCCTTTGTATAAGAACCGGTCTATTACCTGGTGAGCATGTTCACATCTGCATGAGAAGAAGAGATTCCCTATGGTTCTTAGCATTCCTGGGATATTACGGCCTTTTTAGTTCTGAATGTCAGCGAGCTGACCGTGTTTGCGTCGCTTTTGGCATTTTACAGAACAATAATCTTGAACGAGCTCTCGACTGGATCTTCACCCACCCGGAGGAGGAGGAGGAGAGTGATGCCCTTTCAGACATGGCTGACACAGAGCCCAATGACAACGCCTTCTCCAATGCCAACTCGCACAGCGACTCCACGCTGTCCCCAGACGGAGACGCGTCGGGCCCCAGAGTCAAAGACGGACCGGGACGTGAGTGACTCTGCACGACCGCCGCTCCCACAGAAACATACTGCTTCTCTGCCCTTGAATTTAATCTCGACATTGTGAGCGTCCACGGGCCATTTTAGCCCCAGTCAGGTCTGATTATGACGCATGCTGTACCCACGTGCTGCTGGGCACTGGATTTCAAGGTGTAGCAGCATCAAAAAACAATTTAAATTCCTTCATTTTATCCCCACGTGCTAAATAAATCACCTGTTTTTAAGTTAAAACTGAAAATGAGCACTTTCTTAGATAATTATCACTTTAGTTGTTTTTCTGTAAATATGCGTTAGTTTGTCACTCACTGACTTTGTTCTTCTTTTTCTAAGGATATGAGCTCTTCGCCTTCATCAGTCACATGGGAGCGTCTACGATGTCTGGACATTATGTTTGTCACATCAAAAAGGAGGGACGGTGAGCGGCACGCAGTGTTTCATGTTACAGAGCTGACGACCTGTCACAGAAACATCTCTGATGTCTCATCTCGTTGCATTAACTGTGTACAGATTTATTATTGTTTTTAGTTCTACGATAGTTCACCAGTCTGGCTGCGTGCTGCTGGATCATAACTGAGCCTGTTTCCTCTTTACACTGAGTAGAAAAAGAATAATGAACCCATTAAATCTTTTCATTCAAATTTGAGAAAAATGACACTTTAAAAGCATTTGTGTGAATTTAATGTGCACTTCTCCCGCCTGCAGGTGGGTGATCTACAACGACCACAAAGTGTGTTTGTCAGAAAGACCTCCAAAGGACTTGGGCTACGTCTACTTTTACCATCGACTGTCGAGCAGTTAGACCGCTGCTCGCTGCGCCGTGTCCTTTAAATAACCACAGACCCAGAAGACTGGCAGACAACTGTGACGTCTCAGTGGGAACGATGGGATAACCTCTCCGACCAGCTGCTTGCCTTATTGTGATGTCATTCTGGAGCAACCAGGAACTCTGGTCAGAAGGGAAAGCGATGTGCTTTTTGTGTATTAGTGTTATGCTTTAAATATCAGTGTTTGTGTTCAAAGAAAGAACATGTCTTTACAGTGTTGGTACAGAGGGATCTGTGCAATTTCTACGATTGTGCTCTTTACACGAAACAACGCCACATATCAAATCTCAGTCTTTCTCCTCTTCTCTGCCTTCAGTCACTGTGCCGTTTTTTCTTTTTTCCCAAAGTGGTGCATTTTATAAATGTGTACTTAAGTGCAGTGCTTCACTGCCAGCCCTGCTCTGAAACTGCAACAACAAACAAGAAGCTCCTGTGCTGCAGGTGGCTTTGCATTGAATGTTTTGAGAAACTGGAAAGAGAAGAGGAGCGCGATGCTCCTTCCACAGTGCAATCCCAAGTGCTTCATGTAAAACATTACAAATATGAAGCGGAGCAAAATTCACTAAGAATGAAAAGGTTTTGGTTTTCCACACATGGAAGTCACCACGTGAGTTTCAGAGTGATAAATGGGCATTAACTCGATTCGTCCCGGTTATGCTCGAGGCCGACGTGTACGTTTGTCACATTTAATGAAAAACCTTCAACGCCCTGATGCGCCGGCTGTCAGGATGTTAGTGTCATTTCTGTCCCTGTTGCACTTTTTTGACTTTTTCCTGTACCTGCACTGTACTTGCCAGTCACAAACTACCAGGACTCATGTCTGAAGTGCGGCACTGCCAAGGAGATTATATTCATTTGATTCGATCTAATTAAGGCCAGCCTGGCTGTCCAGTCGTCCCTGTTCAGGGAGGTTGCATAGTAACGTAGGTGAACCTTTGGTGTACATAATTTTTGCTCAAAGTGCAAAATATCTGCAAACTCGACATAACTGTTACTGGGCTGCACCTGGCTCCCGCTGGTTCTTTTATCACTCTGACAGATTCGGACTGTAGCCCAGAAGCTAAAACGATTGTTTCAGGCCATGTAAGTTTGAATGTTTTTGTCTAGAGCAATATGCACTAATAACCAAATCTGCTGTTGAACAGCTGTATGAGAACAGCTGTACAGTGACCGTACCTCCTCTGAATGTATACACTCGTGGTGCTCGCTGCAAACAAAACACTCAGACATGACTGTGATGCTACAGCGGGCCACTCTTTAGGGCCTGGAGCTGGTCTAGCCTCCAGCTCTCTGCTTTATCTGCTCAGTAATATTCATAATGTGCAGGATGGATTAAACACTGTGCTCTTGACTGTCAGTATCTACATACTTGGCTTCATATCTTTATTTTTAATCACGTTTCATTCATCTCGGAGAGAGCAGTCTGCTTCCGGTAGCATATTTGAAGGTGGAGTTCTGCTCAAATTAATCGTAATTTATCAAACGTTGAATTACAGTTAATTATTTTAGGCTCTCGTACTCAAAGGGAAGACGTGCTGTTGACAAAGAGAGTAGAAAAGAAAAGCAGAGCAGCACCACGATGGTTTCTACGGGCGTTTTTCATTGACACAGACAAAAAACACTAATGTAATTTATATAATAAATCCATATGACTCCCCTTTAACAACACTGTGCCTCGATTTCCCTGAGCAAATCTTAGCCTCTTACCAGAGAAACTGTTTGTCTATGCATTGGGGAATACTAAACATCTCTATGCAAGTCTTGTGTTTGTGCCTCTCGTCGTCGCTGAGTGAGTGACAAGCTTTTGCCTAATGATGGGTAGCTGTCTCTGCTCCTCTCGTGGTCCCGGCTCGTTGCCGTCTTTCTGTCCTCGTCTTTCAGCTTTCTCTCCAGCTCCGTCGCTTCCATTCTTCTCTACCTTGTTTAAAACGTAATGGTTCATTTTGTCATTTAAAAAAGGTTTTTTCACTGTCAGCATGTTAACTAGAGATGGACATTTAGTCGTCTGGGTTGTACCGTTGTACTCTTGTGAGCTTCATACTCTTTTTCTCTCCATTTAACTAAATGTCAAAAAGCTTCTTGACCTGTTTCTAATCTTTCTGCCTTTTTTGTGTCAGTTCTGTAGTTTTCATTTCAGAGCTCTCCTTGAACTGATTATTTTAAGCTGACTTTTGTAATGTATCCAAATATGGCTTAGGTGTATGTGAACAGAGTCATGGCAGTCCAGTGTACCAGTGGCACTGTTTACTTACGATGTTTGGATCATTTAATAAACGACATGTTTGTTGAGACCTGGCTTCATCGTGTCGGGCAGGAGTCGGCACAATAAAGACACGGGAGTGTCGAATATATAACAACACTTTATTTTAAAAGATTACTTTCATGTTGTACGTTCCAAAGGTGCTAATGCTGTCCTCGTGATTATACAGGGAGAGTAATATGCATTATAGTAGGTGTTTCAATAAACGAGTGGCTGTATACAAATTACATCATTTCTAATTTCATCCCTCAAAATATATTATTCATATACGTGTGACGCAAATAAATGAGAACAAAGTGCACGTTCTGAACCGGAGCAGTGGAGGAAGTACATATGCAACAGCAACCTCAATGAGCCCAACCAGTGAAGCCATCACGAATGCTTTATGGATTTTCTGTACCCTAAGCACCAATTCCCACATTTTAAAAGCATAAATCTTTTAGAGATAATAAAAGTGGACAAAGCCAAATAAAAAGTGTCTTATTGATACACAAAAACAAAGTTATTCCAGTGAAATGAAGAATAATGCCCCTCCTTTGGAGTCTTTTTATTCTGTTTTGACCTTTTTTTTTCAGTATCATTGTTTCATTAGAACGAAGAATTATTTGTGTGTCTGGGTATTTATTCATTTTTTTCAGTTAATAGAAACATGCCGGAGCCAAAGATGTGATTGCCTCATTAGGATCGTTAACTGGACAGTTCATTAGGTACACCTTACTAGTACCCCTGCACACATTTTTAATAAATTCAATATGTAATTAAATCTTATTTTATCCAAGAAGCTGAATGGAAACATTTATCAGTGTGGTCATTATCAGGTAGGCTGCTGTGTTTAAATGATGCTCATTTTCATACCAAGGGGACCAAAATGACACCACTACCAATCTGACCCACTGACACAGGCAGCCATGTTTTCATGCTTATGCCAAATTCTGACCGAGCCATCCGAATGTCAGGAGAAGCCAAGGAGCATCAGACCAGACGCGTTTCGAATCTTCAGTTTTGATGGTCCGTGTGATCCGTTTCCTGTTCTTAGCTGACAGCAGTGGTTACATGTTCACAGATGCTCTTCTACATCTGCTGCTCCTGGTTTCAGACTACTCTGTGTAAACTATAGAGATCCAGAAGTCAACAGTCTCTGAAGTAGTCACGCTAGTCCTTCTGGTACCAACAACCACATTCAGAATCACATCTGCACTGCGTGACTGCCACACGATCTGCATCTATGCAGCTGAACAGGTGTACCTAACACAGCAGTCAGTGAGCGATTGTATTTGGTCTGTTTTCACTCCATAAAACTGCGTAACTCTCACCTTTGAACACTTTAGGTCTCCACAATAGAAGACACGGTGAGCAAGTCTGTGTAAAAGCTGTGAATTTGAACTGTTGTATGACTGTCCACTTTTACTCTCCCTCTTTCTTAAGTGTAAACAGAACTAATGAAGTGATTCTTGCAAACATTAAAACCTTATAAAAACAGCTGTTAAAGGGTCACAGCAGGTTGTGAAAGTCTACATAAAAACTTTTCAGCACTAAAGAGTTGTGCAATAACAGCTAGACAGCTTTATAGGTTGGGGTCATTGCAGTGGTTACAAACGTGTTTGTAATTTGTAGAAGTAATAAATATAACATTTGTGCATAACTATGATTATCCAGTTCATTAGCCAGTATTCAAGCTGAAGTGTGTTTGCAGTGTGCTGTGCCTTAGACTCGTTATTTCGAGCCTCTCACACTTCCATGCAAGAAAAAGCATCTTGTGTAGAATACATACTGTTTATATACATCATGTTTTGTCAAAGTTTGCGAACTTAAAAGTGCATTATAGCGATATTGCAAGGAAACCTCATGATATATTTACTTTTCTTGGGGTCGAAAGAGAAAGCACTTCCATGTATGTCATGCATACGAATGAAAACGTCATTAAAAAAGTAGAAATGTAAAGGATCTAACATGCAAACAGCCTCAGTTTGTTGCACAGGTGCATGTGTTAGGCTAGGTCAGTTCACCTGAGAAGGTACAGTAGTAGGTTCAGCAAAATAAAGAAAACTGCATCCTATCTCAATGCACTATGGAATGATGTGGACGGCAGAAGAAGGTTGTGGCCCAGCAATGTAAGATTTCTTTAAAAAACATGAACCTGTGGTAACCTGTACTGAAATGGAAAAGAGCGAGGGCCTGCGACCTCATAAGACAACTAGAGTTGATTTTGTAAAACACCTGGGAGCACCTGGGAGGACAGGCATGCCAGGTAAAAATGTGGAACAGCTCCTGGCCTGCAGAACCTCTCGCTGATAGGGACCTCCTACAGGGTTGGGTTAACGCTTTAGCAAAGAAAACTGGAGGGGGATCGTCGTGCACTGGACTACCACGCTAGCTGCTCTGTGAGCCTAAAAGTGGAGCTTTGAGCGAAATGCAGCACTCACTCTGACAATGCTAACATACTGATAATATCTCCTGTGTTCAATAAGGAGAGATCAAGAACTGAACATGATTTGTTGAGACAAAGAAATGAATGTATTTGGCGATCAGACTCTGGTGACCCATCTTACCTGTCCCAGCAGGAATAGGATTTAGGACAGGACCCCCTGGAGTCTAGACGCTGGTGGTGGTGAACATGAAAATAGAGATGGGGACGAGGTGGGTTGTGCAAATGACAGTCTGAAAGGGAGAGCAATGAAGAGCACAGATTTAAACCAGAGTGGAAGCTAATTGGCTCAAAGAAGGCAGGCAAGAAGGTGATTGGACGAGAGTATTATGACTGACAGGGTGTGAAAGTGTGGCAGTGATCTAAAGAACAGAACAGCGGCTGAACAAGAAAGCAGGCAGGTGAGGGATTGCAGAGCTTCCATATCGAATTTAACCACAAGCTTTATTATATTAAAACGCTGACAGCCAAATGGCTCTAAAGGTAGCTCGATGCAGGTTCATGGCGCCGTCGCAAACTTTGCAGTTATTTGGTCTAAACCCATTTTGCCGGCCGAGTAACACTTTTGTTTTTGGGAGAAGTGCTGGAAGCAAATTTCACGCCACCCCTTTCAGTCTGGGCCAAACTGGCAGACAGACCCTCGCTGGCATGTATGGAGCTACAAGCATGCTTAAATTTGACATCCACAGTAATTTAATGCTAATCAAACAGAAATCAAACATGAACTCCTGGATGTAAACCTGATTTGTTCCAGCGAAGGATACCTTTTATCATCGTCCAGTCTCCCACCGTGAATACATTTGTGCATGCACCCCTGCTTTGGCCTCGTTGCCAGAGTCGCTGTTAGCTCCCCTCTGAGGCCGACTGTTAGAGCCATGCACATATGTGCTGTGTATCTCTGACTTCTCGTCTAGTGTTTGATCTATTTATCCTGGTTGTGTGATAAATAGAGTCTGTGCCAATATTTTTTTAAGTATCTGGCAAGTAGAGCAGCTGATCTTTTTTCATCAGTGCCACAGACTCGAATATATTAATGCAGCTTGTGTGACAACAATGACAGAATGTATGGAGCTTTATCAAGCTCCATACATGGCGGTGAATTTGATGGATGCAACTAAGGTCAAAGACGCCATGTCCGTGCAACCTGGTTCTAAAAGCAGAAGGCTGCACTCTTTGTGTCGATCAGTCTTTCTTTTAGTCAGAGCTTCTGACCACTTTCTCCCTGGGAGAACACTTGTTTTCATTCTGGCAACTTCCCGATGAAACACTTCTTCTTGTACAGACCGTGACACCCCGGCTGTACAGTTTGGAAGATGAATGGCTCTCGCACTGGTCTCTGGTTCTGCCTGATAGTGTTCTTTCCAAACACCGAAACAACGCTTCCTTTCGGTCCGCCGAGGCAGACGGGGACCCGCAACAATTCAGAATGGCAACATAAAACATGACCTTTTGCATAGGAGCTACAATAAAAACCCTCAGACCGTGGACACGCCTGATAAACACCCAAATGTGCTGAGCTATGCAGTACAGAAGATTATCTATCATTTACTCTGTTGCACAGCGAGGTACAGGGTATTCACTTCAGAGAGTGACTTTCAAACTAGCAGCAGTGATGCAAGTGAAGCTGTCAGCTAAAAAGTATGACTAAGGAAAAGCTTTCTTCCTGCAGCAGGAGAGTCACTGTATTTACACAATCATGTTTTCTGCAGATGCATAACCATCTCGAGTTTGAACATCAACCTGATGTGATTTGAAGTGTGTGGTGAAACGAACAGCGTTCATCATACATGTGCAGCATTCTGCCCAAGCTTACGTAAATATTCAAATCATGCATTATGACTATTAAATGCATGAGCCTTGCTGTCTTTGGAGGAGCAGCAAAGACACCAGTGACGGCGTCAGCAGATACTGACAACAGAAAACAAACTGAGTCAGGTCAGCAAAAATAAAAAAGGACTGTATAATGTGTACAGTAGTCATTAGTAACTCTGAAGCCATCCCAGAACTAGCAGAAGAAGATAAAAAGAGATATTTTTAGACTTGTTAAGAATAACGTTTTCATATGCTAAAGTTTGAAAAGACTAATGAAGGTTTTATAGATTGCTATTGCCCAGCTTTTCTGTGTGTTTCTGCAGTCACCTTAAAGGGAACAAAGAGGAGCTAGGAGCCAAAAGAAAGGAGAGAAAAACTGAGCGAAACAAAAATTAGTGGCTCAGAAAGCTTTCAAGTTCAAAAGACAGCAGTTATTTAAGAAAATGAAACTAGTCTGAAAATGGCTTAGTGTGGGTTTTTTTCTGTTTTCATAAAAATAGTATAAATAAATATTGTTGGTCGCATGCTTTTGAGTAAGGCTTGCACATTCCACTCGGACTGAGGAAGTTATATCTGTTTATCTGATGTGCAAAGGGAAAACCTCTAAAAGTATGTTAATTTGAAACAAGAATCCAGTTATGAAAATGCTTATTCATGCAGTATCATTATTTTCCCATTGAAAGGATGAAAATAAGCCAGGAACAGAGCCTGGAGTTCCAGGTTATACGCTGCAGTCTTTGTAATTTGCTCACTAAATCCATCCTTCAGGAGTCGGGAGTCAAACGTTTTTTCCTCTCTTTTCTTTGAAAACGGCCTGTGAGGTCTGCTCTATCAGGCTCGTACAACCGTCCGTCTCTGCCGGCTCTGTTCCGCTGGATGAGTCAGTTTTTAATTGATGTGTCCTCTAAGGCATTGCTCGTACAATCTTTGCCCGTCCTTGTGCTCTTCAGGGAAATCACAAATTACAGTGCAAATCCAACACAGAGCAGTCCCTTCAAACCCTTGGAAGAACCTGTCCTCAGAACTGCTCTGAGGTACTTGGGTGAAAAATATAATAGCTTTGACGACTGTAGTTAATTTGGATGTGCATAAAAATACACTGTTGTCTCTGACGTCCATCAGTCCATTCTGACTGTGCACTTTGGACTTTTGGCTGTTGGGTAGAAATCAAATAGTAAGTGAAGAGGGGGCAGATGTTAGCATTACTGCCTCCTGGTCGTCAAATGTCTAAGTTGAAGGCCCGCATGAGATGATCCAAGTCGCCGATATTTGCAGCCTGGAAGAGTTCAGGCTGGTCCATCATGGATAAAGCTATCCTCAAAGCCGCCCAGATGTTTCCAGACATCACCTGGTGGGACTGCTGGCGACTCCGGCTTTTCCTCTGAAGGCTTAAGGCAGTCAGGAAGTTGCTGGCCGCCTCTCTGGGGAAGAAGGAATAAAAGCAAGTCATTGCATCACAAAATTCCATCAACTGGTCTCCTCAGTTCTGAGACACGTACAGACTGTTGTTAAAAGAAGAGGCGATACTACACAGTGGTAAAGATGACCCTGAGAAATGTTGCTGCCATCAAACAGGAAGAAACCTTAGAAAAATCCAGGCTCAGGGAGAGGCCCGCCCAGTCGGTTGGGGTGAGGGGAGGAAGACGAGACCAACTTATTTTGCACAACAAGAATATAAACAAAAAGGCCAAAACATAACAAACCTTACTGCACTTGATCACTCTGCGAGACGTCTCAAGCAGATGTCTCACCTGCCAAAATAACAGGACCTGTGTGGTTGCATTAAGGCAACTGTGCAGACATTTAAAGCTACCTCAACGTCAAGGCATTTCTTGTGTTTTAGTGGTAAGGTTTAGAAAACTTACTCATTTGAACTAGAGTAAATTTACATGAAGTCCTGTTGTTTCTATGACTATTTCTGTGCTTTTATTTTGTTAGTGTCTATGCTATTTATTTACTTCGGCCACTGACAGCTGTCTAGTGTTGGTCAAGTTACTTGAAAAAAGTAATCAGTAACTAATTACTGATTACTTCCCCCCCAAAAGTAATCCCATTACTTTACTGATTACTTATTTTCAAAAGTAACGAATTACTCAGTTACTTAGTTACTTTTTAAAAACACGATTTACAACCTGAGTAGGTGATAAAATGATAGATCTTTCAGCTCAATTCTACTTTTTCTGCATAATCCATCATACAAAATGTAATCAAATGGAAAAGTCTCTTTTTAAAACTTGTTTTATTAGTTTTAATCTTTTAACTTTATGCATCAAGCAAAAATTTAATTATATGCAACATTCTCTGACTGGAATAAATTAGTTTAACATTTAAACCTATTTTCTGCACATTCCAGCACATAAAATAAAATATTTTTTGTGTTTACACTCAGTCTTTCAAATAGATGCAAGTAAAACACAGCAGAAAATAAATAAAGTCAAAGACTCAGCGGTCCTGTTGCTCTATTTTCACCTGTAAAGCAGGAGTGGGGCAGGCGGAGGGTTACCCTGGTGCAGGTGTGCCGCGGTCAGTGGAAGAATCCGCGAGTTTCTCTGTGAGTTTCCCATTACGTCGTAGCTACTCGGTGCTTGTTGGAAGTTTAGGGGTTTTTTCGCTGTAAAAAGAAGTTTTCTTCCCACGCACAGCGGACACTAATGTTTTTGTCACTTTTTATGGAATCAAACTCAAAGTAAGGTCAGTACTTCCACGCTTTAAACGCTGCACGCTCATACTCTCTCTGCACTCGATATGTGATCCATTGTTGATCTGCACACAGCTGCTGTCACCAACGTCGCACTCGCTTACGTCACTGTCGTGAGACATTCTCGCAAAAAAATCACAGTTTTAGTAACGCAGTGCAGCGTTCCTACGGGAAAGTAACGGTAATCTAATTACCGTTTTTGCAATAGTAATAGTAATAGTAATTTGCAATAGTAATCCCTTACTTACTCGTCATGTAACGCGTTACTGCCCATCTCTGAGTGTAACTGGCTGAGTTTGGATATGTCTTGATGTCTGCTCGTGTCAGATTTCTGGTTGTGTGCTGCTGCTTGTATTTCTACGCTGATAGTAGCTTCAATCTGAATATTTTCTGTTTGTGGATAAGCATTTGCCTTTTGGGTGTTGTCTGGCAGGTACATATTAAAACTCATATGAATGCATACGATTGGTATCATGAGCTGAATTGATATGTGCAGACAGTATTCCACTCACCACACGAGATAAATGATTCATGAGAAGAGATCTTGTGCACCAAGTCACACATTTTGCAATTTAGATTCGAGCTGCAATAATAAATCTATCAACAGGAAATTAATCAGCCACATTTTGATTTTTGAGCCAATATCGTCTGCAGCCTTCTCAGTGTGAAGATGTCATGCTTTTATTTGGCATCTATGAAAACTCACATATTAACTCTGTGCATTGTCTTACTTCAACTGCTGCCCTTTCTGACCTACACTTTGGCTGTTATGCTTATTAATTCTACTCCACTGCATTACACAAAAAGAATAGAAATGCTATCCCACTCACAGATCACTCACCTGTGTGCCCCCAGGTTAATACAGCTGATGCCCAGGTTGTAGCGGGACCGGATAAACCCCGGCTGCAGCTCCAGGGCTCTTGTGTAAGCCTCCACCGCCTCCTCGCTTCGATCTCCATTCGCCAGCGTGGCCCCGAGGCGGTTCCACAACAAGTAGTCCTGCACAAGAGCGCGAGTCGTCGGTTGATTGAGGAATAGGAAATGTCAGGTAGTGAAGGTTTGGTACAGCTCAGTGTGGTGTGTGCTGTCAGATGCTGCCAGCCTAAATAACCCACATACTCAAGACTTGCATTCAGTCATTTAGTGCAATTTAAAACTCATCAGCGACATCGCTTCAATTATTATTTAATTATTCAAGGCTTAAACGCTGTCCACCTTTGAAGGACCTAAAAATCAGCTTGCAGTGTCTTTAATACAATAGATGGACTAATTAGGACTTGGATAATCTGGGCTGCTGCGCATCACATGGCCTTCCATCTGCAGTGACAGTGTGACAAAGCAGTATTTCTTTAGAGACCTAAATAACAAGGGGCTGTTTTGGAGCATTGTAACATCTCCCCTGGTTAAAAGTAACTCAAGAAGGGTAATTTAAGGATAGCTGAGTTATATCACAAAGGATGTCCTTGCTGTTGTTTCCCACCTGCAGGTAGACAGGCACATACAGAGGTCATGGTCTGTTACAGGGATCCTTCATCTCTGGCTAAGCCCAGCACTGGGGTATAATTATCTCCCTTTGTGTTCAGAGCTATTTTTCCAGCAGGGGACCTGATATTACCAAGTCAAATGCGGGAGGCTGGATTTAACAGTGAGTAATATTCATGCCGGCCTGGGACAGTGCTGGGAGGATGGAGCTCATTTGCATACAGAGAAATGGTAGAAAAGTTCTTGGTTGTATTTGCGTGCGTGTCCATTTTATCTGTCGCATGCCTGTGTGTTCTAGTGGAGTGAATATGCATGCATCTGAGATTATTTTTAGCTCTCTGCGTAATTATGTGTGTTTTTGTGTATGTGTGTGCGGATTGCGTCTTGCTCAACCGTTGTGCTGGATCACAAGCGAGAGCATATGTGTGCCAGTCAGGAGTTCACCAGGCCAGATTTTGGCAGCGCGACAGTTCGCATATTGCTGTGACAGTTCGCTGTGCCTCACTGCATCTGTTTGCACAAGCTCTCCCTTGATATCGTGGCTCATCCTCGCTATGCTTTGGGGCTTCATGTCTGCTGCGTGTGTTTGGAAGTCTGGCTCTTACAGTATGTACAGTATTAGAAAGCACAGCACACGCTCACAGGAAACATTCCTGAAGGGTTCACATCAGCACGATAATAACACACACACACAACCAACACACACAGCTGCTGCAGATTTATCTGCGTTCCACCACATCCCAGAGATGCTCTGCTGGACTGGGATCTGGTGACTGTGGTGGCCGTTCAAGAAACCAGTTTGATCTGATCCAAGGGACGTAGTGTGCTATTCTGCTGTCAGCAGAGGGATGGACACGTTCAGCAACAATACTCAAGTCGGCTGTGGTGTTTAAATACTGACCGGTCGGTACTAAGAGGCCCAAAGTGCGCTAGATCAGCGGTCCCCAACCCCCGGGCCACGGACCGCTCGTTTGATACCGGGCTGCAAGGCTTGAGGTTTCAGTTTTCAGTTCCCTGGGTCTTTCCCGTGTTGAAGTTGTGCGTCTTATTTTGAAAGAAACGTTTACGCGTTACCATAGTAACAGAGAGGGGGATGTTACTCTCGCTGTTGTTCAGGGGGACGCTGCTAATAAAGTTACACAATTACATAGTGAATTCGCTTTTATTATTATATTTACAAAGCGCCACAGTTTTTGTCTCGGTTGTATCATTTTATTTTGTTGTATTTATCCGCCACACCTTAAAGGCCGGCCCGTGAAAATATGGTCCGACATTAAACTGGTCCGTGGCGCACAAAAGGGGCTGCTTCTCCAGATACTGTACCCAGCACCACTCTAACACCAACAGCCTGAACTATTGATGCGAAGCCGGATGAAGCGATTGTTGCTGCAGAATATGAGACTCATTGAATCAAGCAACATTTTTCCAGTCTTGTATTATCCATGTAAACTGTAGCCTCAGTTTCCTGTTTTAAGCAGGCGGGGCAGACAGTGTGGTCTTCTGCTGCTGCACTGTGCACTCAGAGATGCTCTTTTTATACACTGCCTGTAATAACTGGTTATTTTTTTGGCATTTGCCTTTATTTGATTACAATAATGGAACTAGACAGGAAAGCAGAGAAAGACAGGGAAGACATGCATGAAAGGGCCATACGATCGCCTGCTCACCCACTGTGGTAACTGGTGCCATATTTGAGTTACTGTTGGCTTCCTATCAGCTGGAAGCTATTTTTGTCTGACCGCTGACACCAAGGAAGGATTTTCACCAAGTTTCTCTTTTTTTGAATCATTCTTTCTAAACCTGAGAGATGATGATTGTGTGTGATAGCAGATCAGCAGTTTCTGAAACACTAAGACCACTAAGTCTAAAGTCTAAGTCTAAATTACATACCTTATCAATAAAGTAAAACGTAAGCCAAAAAGAACGAGCAGCTCACTAGCTTCAAACACAACAACCACTCAGCTCACAAGCTGTAACCACACTACTGGCACTCTGGCCCAGAGCTCACCTTTCCCTGGGCTTAAATCTCCTTGATTACTGACGCGAGTCAGCTGTGTAAAAGGGAAAGGTGGCACCTCAGGCAGAAGAGGTGGTGGGACACGCCCACACAGGCATCTTCAGGAGGAGGCCCTGCTAGGGCCGTAACACCACGACAACAGAAAACCCACTGTTGTGCTGTAACATGGATGTAATATGTGAGCAACCGATCCACTGTTGTATGAAAGCCGTTGACATTGGTGCATTAATGCAGTGCCAGCTGTTCATGTGTTATGAGCCGTGTTTGGATTATCACTTATTTCCCTTCTCTCTTTTAAAAACTATACTTGATAAGTAGAGCCTAACTAACAAAGCTGCTAAGTTGTTGACTGGTATATGGTAAAGTGTCAGCCTAAAATCATCTTTTTGGAGAACCATGCATATTAAACCGTGCCCCTGTGTGTAGTGCGTAGGGCTGTGTGTCTACCTCGGGCCGCACTGACAAAGCCGTGTTGAAGGCCTCCACGGCTTTGTTAAACTCTCCGCTGAGGTTGTAAAGCACCCCGAGGCCCGTCTGCAAATCTGGGTCGATGCTGTCAGAGTTCTGCTGAACTGCTTCCAGGTAGAGCTCCTTGACCTCTGGTAGCACGGAGCTGTGGACACACACACACACACAAAATTGAGATAAGGATTAGTGTGACTTAAGGCTGCTGAGTAAGCACGCATAAGACTGCAGGGCCATGATGTGCACTGGACTTTTATTCACAGCGTAACATGATGAGAGGCAGCCGGGGGAATGACGGGGGCGGTACAGAGAGGAAAACTGGAAACCAGGCCGGTCGTATGGAAAGAATGAATTTCTGTTTGTAAACAGTTTGTAAACATGTTCACTGATGTTTGTAAACATGAGTGAAGCTGTGGTCTAATATTTAGCAGTGCATGTATCTGAAAACTGTGACGCAAGCCTTAGCAGAGCGATAAAAGGAAGGGATAGAAAATGAGGGATGAGGTGAGCAGCAAAAAATTAAAGGGATGTTATTCCGTGGACTAGAGGGGAGACCGCAGTAATTGGGCTGTAACTGTGTCTCTTCACACTGACTAGACGATTAATGATTTGATAAAGCGCTACTTTACCTCGGGAGTGGAATTAGGTCTTTCAGATCAGATATACCAAACAACCTCAATTATACGGCTTAAAATATTGCAGACAGCACGCACTTAACAAAGTAATTTAACAAGGTCCACACATGTACTGTAACCCTCCGTCTACCATCTCACCAGTATTACTGCCACTACCAGTGTCACCAGTACTACATTTCACAAGTACATATACGAGTATTAACAAATCCTGGAATTGTAATTTTACCAGTTTTAACAACAGAAGTCAAATCCAATAAAACACATCTGAAACTTTCTGTTTCTGACTATCCGAAGCCGCCAGGCTGCAACTCCAACTGTCCAGGAGCTCAGCGATAGTCTGGTCCAGATATGGGAGGAGCTCCTCCAGGACGCCATCAGTTACCTCATCAGGAGCACGCCCCTTTGTTGTCAGCTACTCTTGGGGCCCACACTGAGCACCATCTCAGCATCCTTTCATTACCCAGTCCATGTCAGTATAGATATCTAGCATGATTGTTTGTTTCCTATTGACAGTTTCAGTGTCTTCCTTTTATTTTTTTGGCTGTGCATATATTTTATATTAGAGACACGAACAATCCCAATAATAAAGATAAGCCAGCCAAATGAATGAAGCCGTCTGCAACGGAGCGTAAGCACACGTCAAACTGCCCGTCTGCCACAGCATCGTCAGCTGTGGCAACAATTGCTATTAGGAAAGAAGGAACCAGGAATCTGTGGAAGAAGGATTTTGTCATTCATATTTGCTAGAATTAAAAATATTCCCAGCACGTGATATTTATTGTTGAATTAAAAAAACACACAAATTCAGTATGTTATAATGTTATAAATAGAAGGAAAAACTGATGTGTGGCTAATGTTAACTGCTAGTACCAACACCCTCCTTTCCTTGCAGGTTAACGTCCACATGCCTGTCCTGAATGTATGTGTTGTGGTTAGCATTGCAGGTGTGAATGCTTGTCTGTCTCTCTCTGTTAGCCCTTTAAATACACACCAACCTGTCCGGGTTGTAGCTTATAATAGCTGAGATAACACTTCTCCTTGTGACTCTGAATTAGAGAGGTGGAAGAAAACAGACAGATGGCAAAATAATAGCCAATTACTGTTAAATAATCAGTGTATTAGTGTACAAAACAAACACCCAGGACCAGATTTTAAAGTGAAATGTCTTAAACTTGGTTTAGTAATTGTTAACAGCTACAAGTTTAAGAAACCTGCACAGCTACATGTTGCTTTCCACTTCATCAACAACACCTTTGACTTGCTGCAGCCTCTGATATGTGTACAAAGCCAACATACGAGACATCCGTCCATCTTTAATAAAGTGGCAAACAAGAGACTGCAGGTTTTCTTATGCTGTAGTGATCCTTTTAATTAGGTCTAAAGAGTTTAAATACTTTACCTTTCATGTCTGCCCAGGTTGGGAGCATGAGACATCCTGCGCTGGGAGTTTGGAGATCCCGTTAGATGAGTCTTGCCTTTGACAAGATGCTTGTACTTGGGATTGTGTCTCAGCCAGCGGAGGAGGGCCTCACAGGCATCATGGCGCATACCAGTGTTGGTCAGGCTCACTGCCAGAGCCAAGAGGGCTATAAGGTTGTTTGGGTGGAGCTCCAAACACCTGGAGACACGATTCATTCATGGGAGAAGAGAAATCAAGTAAGGTGTTCACTTCAAAGAGAAATCTAGATTTGACAAGCATTAATTGGGACAGGCCAAAGCAGAGGAACATCAGGCCAAGGCTAATGATTTCTGGGCCAGAGCGAACGAGCAACACTTCTCCTGCTCCGTCTCTGCTGCAGAGAGTCGTGTTTGCATGCTACCCACAGCTGATGATTTGAATTAGCTTTGCACTTAGGCAAAACAGCATGGGTGGTTGTTCCAGAGACGGAAAGTATGTTTGTAGTAATTGCTGAAGTTATATCACTGGTTATATCACGTGGACGCTTGCCACTGTGCTGGCACTTCATAATTGAAAAGGGAAGAAGAACAGAACAGTGTTGGATGAACGACTTGGATTAGTTGAAAGACTAAAGGGGAGGCCAAAACGAGATTTAGCTTTCAACAAGATAATTTTTATAGCCAGATTTGCTACAGTTGATGTGCCAGCTTCCTTAAAACCATCCTAATCTCGAACAAACCAAATTATTTCAGTCCCGCTGCAAATGACGTAAACCCTGGTTCAGGACACTGACGTTCACTGCATATAAAGTTAGGCCCATAAATACTCACACAGTGTTGCATTGTTTGTCTCCGTACATAGTGGATTTTAATCGAATAATTAAGGTGTGATCAAAGTGCAGACTTGACTTCAAGGCGTTTAACAAAAATACGAAACTGTTTAGGAATTATAGACATTTTTATACTTAGTCCCCCATTTTTATAGGCTTAAAAATAATTAGACCGTCAGACACAATTTTCAGATTTTGACGGCCTGTACCTCGACAACTGTTCATGGACATCACCAAATGCTGTGTTTCCGCCCTTGAGATGATCTGCCAGGCCTTCAGCCTCCTACTGTTGTTACTTTTTGGGATCTCTCTGTATCCAGTTTTCTCTTCAGTAACTAAAGAGCACGATCTGTTGGTTGAAAGCCGGTGACTGAGTCGGCCATCTTTGCCTTGCTATGTGCAGTATGCTTCTTATTATTGGTGTGCACTGTGAAATCCTTTCTGATCAGTTTAGCATCATTTAGCAGAGGGTATAGCCTTGTACACTTCACAGTGCATCCTGTTACCTCTATCAGCAGTCACACCATCAATAAACAGCTGTGACCCACACATGCCAGTGCCATAGCACAGCCTCCACTGTGTTTGACGGACGATGTGGTTTACTTTAGCTGTGCTCTTCCAGGCCCTCTGTGATTTTCTTAGAGTAAGGCATGAACTGGCCTTTCTATGTTTATTTTGTTTTCCAGCCTAATGATGAACTTTACATATAATGTCTCATCTTTTTGGCAGTTTCCAGCAAACAGCTACTAAACAGAAGGTAAACAATTGGAATCAGATCTTTCATCTGCTTAATTTGTCATCGAATAACAAGGGAACGGGTCTCACCTTGTCAAAAACCCACCTTTCAGTCACCTGTCTGAAAATGGACTTTGCATAAAAAAACAGTTAATGTGATACGGTTTTCGAGTCATAGCTTAAAGTCTGCCCTTCGATCACATCTTAATTGCTTTATTTCAAATAGCAGAACTGTAGGTGTAGCCTTTGTATCAAAGAAGACATTTTCTGAATTAAAGCATAAACATGGCAAAACAAAGTTAAGCATATGACATTATTCAACAAACAGATAAAAAAGAGAATACAGCAGTGTTGTGAATCTGAAACGATGCCACTGTAACCACAAGCTAAAAACATTTAATCTCACTTCATACAAAAAGAGCCTTCGCAGATGGAGCCATTACATAACACAGACATTCAAACCACAGAAGGAGCATGTAGGACTCTGCTGGACCGCAGGAATCTCAGGCCAACTAAGATATTCTGCATGACAGCGGACACCGTTTGTAATCCACGTCTAACAGCGATCACATTTTCCTAGTCTTGTTTCTTTCTTCTGAAAAATGGACCATATCTGAAGGAAGAACACGTTCTCCTGAGTCTCTTGTGTTTTCTGTTGTCAGCACTCACATTCCCAGAAAGGTGTCATTTCCGGCTTCACCAGTTTGAATGAAAGTGGGCCACCTCCCATTGAGGCTTCTGCTCATAAACGTGCTCTGTGCTATCACCATCCATGTGGGGTGTCTCTGTTTTAAGAATAAAACTCCCAGAGCCTGCTCTTCCCATCTCCATCTAAGGATAACTGAACAAAACTGTGATGGTGTTCTTCTTATAATACTGTTTTAACATCGGCATATAGTTATGACTTGGTTTTGTTCTCGCTGAACCTACTGCTGTTAAACAGTTCAGTGAAACCTCGCAGGCAAATTTCACGTGCTGGGCTTCATCTTTTCACATGATATTTCCACAGTGTCCCACTTGTGCAAACATATGGTGTTCCCAAGCAGCAACAGCTGACTGACTCCAATGTCTGCGAGCGTTTTTTGATTTTAAATGGGAACTGAATGCAGTTGTTTGTCATTACCTCTGGAGGGAGACAATCGCTGCCTGCTCGTTCTCATTTTCAGCCTGGGTGGTCCCCAGGACTTGCCAGGCCTGCATCAAAACAATACAAACAGGTAAAGAACAAAGAGTAAAAAACACACGGTGGAAACAGTGTACAGCCTATGCTGCCACGGCTGTTGTCTGGCTACTGTGAGTTAAGACATCCATAGCTCCAGCTAATTTTAAGGAAGTACAACTGGGGTATATGCAGTGATGATTAAGACTGACAGTGTTTTATTTGGGCTATTGTCCTCAGACACCATCAGATATTATGTAGTAAAACTGAAAAAGAGCATACTTTAATAATAAATATAGTTTCTTTTGTGTGTAACCGCAATGGGACCTATCCAGGTATGCATTTACTGCATTGTTTGGCATCGTGTTTGGCATCGCTGTCATGCTGAAACATGAAGCCCCTGCCAATCAGATGCTTTATAGATGATATACAGTGGATCAAAATGTGAAGGTAACTGCATCCACGATTGTGCCTCCACCGTGTTTAAAAGTTGGCTGTAGACACTCAGGGCTGCTCCTCCATACACACTGTCAACACTTTGAACCAAATATTTCAAATTTGGATTCATCTCTCCAGAAGTCCTCTTGCCCCTCATTTTCTGCCCATTTCCTGTGTAACTTGGCACACCCCAATCTCCCCCATTCTCTCGAGGCTGTGCTGGTAGACACAGATAACCTCCTTGCAATGGTACGTACTGATGAGCCTTCCTGGAGGAGTTACTACCAACCTCTGTAGGGTCCAGGTATTACCTCATGCTACCAGTAGTAACACTGACCCTAGCCAAATGCAAAACTAGTGAAAACAAGAAGGAAAAAAAGCATTCCTGTTTTGGGGGTTGTCTCATCGTTGCCCAAAGCAGCTGATTATCATCCTCTTCTGCTGCTCAGCTGAGCAGATCATTATCCCACAGCTTTAAATGACTTGCTGTCCTCTTTAATTTGAATATGTTTATGTGTTAGAGGGACGACACTGACTTGAATTAGGGCCTTCATCAACACAAGAGGCCAGACAATGATATAACGAACCTGAAATCCAATCCAGATTATGAGATTAGTCCCACTGTATGATGTGTGTGTAAGGGCACATTTAATAACCTGTTCTAATCTCTCTACATGCTTTTTTTGTTCAGCTCTTTGAAACCAGGCGCCAAATGATTTCTGAATGATTCAGAGGTCTTCGCAGTCGGCCAATAAGCCGCTACGTGCCCTACAAGGAAATTTGGAATCGTATTAGTTCCATATACCGTGGGATAATCCTCTCCTCGGAATAACTGGCACATTTCTGTATATTCCAGGGGATTCCGAAGTACTTTGAATGAAGGCTTTGCTCTTTCAGCTCGCAAAGAGGTCACTCCATTGAAATGGGAGGAATACAAAAAGGAGAATGAGCTATTGTTCATCTCACTGGGCAAATGGAAATTCTCATCAAGTGCAAGTCGAGTATTTTTTTGCTACAGTAAACAACTATTTTTAAAAGGGAAAAAATCCCCTGACCTCTACAGGCAATCAGCATTGAGCCTGTGGGTGCTGCCTACCAAATCAGCTGGTCAGTGAGGCATTCTTCCTCTGTAGCAGGGGAGGATTTAGCCATAGCTTTGCAATGAAAGCCTCAGTGATCCAGTCCAGTTAGCCGGCGTAAGGCTGCAGTTTCTATCGGCCATTTGTACTCTAAAAGTGTACAAATGTCTGTAAATATGAATAGCTCTGCTACTGACTTGACTGGGTAAACAGTGTGTGTTGACAGCTCTGTGCATGTGTATATTAGCAGAATTCACCTCTGAATCGTGAGGGTCCTGTAGGACAGCTGCTTCAAGCAAAAGCACAGCGTTTGGCAAGTCTCCCTCTCGGGATTTCTTCAGTCCCTCTTCGAATGCATTAGGCAAGTCCTTATAAGGATTATCTGTGTGGAAGTAGTAACCCTATCAGCAAGAAGAAAAGATAAAAACAAGCACAGTGGCAACGTCAGTTTCACTCTTCTATTATTCCAATGCAAACCAAGTGTCCTGTGCAGTTGTATATTTAAGCAAAACTGCAGGAGCAGGAATTGATCTTTTCTCCTTCACATCAAACCTGGACTGAGCTCCCCAGGGTTTGTCTGCTCTCTTTAAATGTTAAACTTTGCATTTTCAAACTGTGATTACCCTGGTGTGTTGCGTGCTTTTGAGCATGATGACTTTGAAACAGATTTTTCCTTAAGAACGAGCGCTACGCTGGGATCAATACAGAAAGCCCACAAGTCTGCTCTCACATGATTTCCTGGCATAAGAAGGTCAGCTGGTGGGTGATGCTCAGACATGTGCTCATGTCCTCTGAAACTCGGGAAAACGTCATTGTGATGCGGTAAACATGCAGGTCAGTGTGCAGGCGTTGTTACATTGCATCACAACACATTAACAAGTAGTGTTGATCAGTCTGGCGTGAAACAGAAAGATAAATACAACTAAATTATTACTTTTTTTGTATGTTTCTTCTTCAGAATGGCATATTTTTAGACTCTTAGACTTTAATTATCTGTGCTGCTTTCAATAAAATAAGCAGCTTTAGCTTTACTCGCTGTTTCACTCTTGGGTTTTCATATTGTCACTCTTCTCATACACAATAGGGAATCGGTCAAACAGACCTAGAGACCACCTCATCCCTTTGTGGCACAGCATTCACCCAGCAGCTGACTCTAGGTGAAAAAAAATCCATATTCCCCAACAACCTGGCTAATGGGTGTTGGCTATGTTGCTGGAAACTTCTATTTAAATTCTTTGGTCACTAGCAGGTTGCCACGGTCGCCTGGAGCTTACATGGAAGAAGCCACTTGTCTGCATAGACTCCCTGATTGGCCTCCTAGCTAGTGAAACTTGAAAGTTTGACAGGTTACACGTCACAGGTTCACAATCACTTAGCCAGTAGTTAGCCAGTGCTTGCAGACAATTAGGTATCTTCCACACAAACTGGAGGTGACCGCTGTTATCAGCTAATGCTAAGCGACAGTATAGTAACTGGTAGTGATGGCATCACTGGCTGGCCTTTAAGAATCAGTTTCACAGCGACGGCAAGCGACCTCCAGTAACTACTGGCAACCACTAGAGGAATACTCATCTTTGCATGGATACCAGTGCTTACCAGGTATGTGTGACTGAGACCAAAGGCTTCACATTCAACACGGAGTCGTTTAACACTAGTTTAGACATCATCCCTCATTTTTAAAACCCATTCACATATATAAAAGTTCTGGATCCACAAAGCTCGGTGCATTACAGTAACCTTAAAGTCTCTGATAGTTGACTGTTAACCTCAGGGTGACAAGCCTCCATTAATCACGCCTGTTTCTAAAATCCCTCTGTTGCTCACTCATTCATCACTTTGAGACTTCAAGGCCACTTACTAATCATAAATCTTCCCTCATGCGCATTGTGAGAATATTAGCACAGGTTCATTTTATGGCTGCATAAATTCTGACAGTCACACATGGATAAATACAGAATTGGACACTAAATCAACGTGGAAGACAATAAACAGCTCAGATATTTTAAATGTTGATCTACAAAGGCTGATAAAACTATATTTGGTTTCAGGTTTTTATAGATGTCAGATGTAAACATACTGCACACTTTCACTCTAGGCGCACACGCAGTTCTGCATATTCCTGCATCACTGTCATCAGGACGAATCTGCGTGCGCGCTGAGAGTAACATTTTAATGATAGTGACCTTCTCGTACGGAGACACAGTGGAGGGAATCTGTGCCTGCTCGTTTTCCGTCAGCCAGTTTCGCCGAGCCAGCTCTTCCCACTCTGCCTGCATCTTATCCCAGAACTCGGTATCTGACTGCACACATCAGAGAGAGAGAGAGAGGACACAGTTCAAGAAAACAGGAAGGAAGGAATGGAAGGTGACAGGGGGGAAATGAGTGAATAGTTAGCTCTTGCAATTTGCAATCACCCTACTGTTGGAAATGTCACGTCTGCCTGTTTCCTTGCTGTAATGTACAGACCTCACACTCCTGATGACTCATCACATCTGCATGTCAAGGCAGAGTTTAGAGGAAAAATGCTTTATGCTGGAAATGCAGCTGCAGGAAATGGATGAAGACCAGACCAGAATGAAACACGCGGCTGGCACCTTCTTTCAACAGAATCGGTTAATTCTTCAAAACAGCAGCTAAACCTGAAGTACTGTTTCTGCCGTTCAATAATTTGCATATTTCAAACTTGGTCTGTTCTTTCTAAGACGATCAGAAACACACAAAATGTTCACATTTCCTTGACAGAGTTGGACTTAAGGAACTCTATCAGGATGATATTTGCACCTTTCAATCAGCAGACCGAAGGCTGTCAGTGTAATGTGGGAGTTTGCTTCCTGGAGCATTTTCTAACATTTCTTCTGACAGGAAATCAAAGCCTGTACTGGGAACCTTTTAAATACATGTTTGTTTGCCATCAATTAGTTTAATCAACCAGAGTTTGTGTTGTTTTGCAATAACCCTTGAATACGACATCTTACTGTAATGTAATTAACGGCAAGACTACTAATTATAAGGAAACTGTTGAATTGTGTTTATTTATTATGGTAGCAGACCTATAAACACTTCAAAGAGGCTTTAAGAAACCGATTGTAACAAGTGTCACCTGGCAGTTTGTTGCTCTCTGCCAGGTGATTGGCTGAAGAGCTATGAAAAGGTAGTGGGTGTGTGGAGTGAGGTCAGCACTCTTCTGTGGAAAAAACAGAAGAGTGATTAATTCAATCGGGTGCGAGTGGGCATACTGTCGGTAAGAGACTTTTGCCATTTTGTTTGGATCATTTGTTATTGTAGGTGCCCGTTTTTAATGCGTGTCGCTGGACTTTTGTAGTGTGACCACGAGTTATAATAGGAGAATTGATCAAGCCCTCAATCGACTGCGCGCAGGGAGATGGATCAATATTGTAGGTATATTGAGTGTGTGTTTTAGCTTTGACTTTGAATGGTTTCACAAAATTGATATTTTATTGGGTAATATTTTATTCCATAATGTTGTTTGTGTTGTTCAGCTGTGCTGTCTCTGTCCTTTTTTGTTCATTCTTTTGATTGATTTGGAATTTTGTTTTGGTTAGTCCGTCCAGCCGTGAAGGCGGGTATTGATTGTGAGTGAGTTGTGTAAGGGCGGACTAACCTCCTTCTTTGTGTTTTGTTTATTTGATTGTGCCACTTCCCTTTATATTCCAGATTACAGGTCATGCATAGTGCATAGACCCGAATTGTTTGCAGTGCATGCCACAGGTAAATTGACTGCAGTGTCGCTAAACGGGGTGTAACGGTTTGCAGTGTTGTGTTATTTCTCACACCATTTGTGTGGTAAGTCTCATGTGCAGCTGGGATATCAGCAGGATGTTGTAAGTCCTGTCTGGAAATAACTGGGAATTTGTGTGTTTAATTAATGTAATAAATAAATTATCAATTTCTTTCATTGCCCCGTTTACTCTTCCCTTGTCTTCGGTTACACTATTAAAATTGCTTGCAACAAAATGACAGCAATCTCATTGTTTAATTGTAAACTAAAACAATTAAACAATGAGATGTGAAAAGTGTCTCTTTAGGTTTCTTGAAGACGTTTCATCCGAGAAGCTTCTTCAGTTCTAAGAGCAGCGATTGGTGGAGAGTCCCAGATTTAAGCCCTGTGGGAGAGTCCCCCAAAGAGGGACATGATCACACGAGCCAGGGTGTGAAAAACGGGTGTGGGTCATAATCAGCCAAGGTTTCAGGTGAACCCATAGTGAAGCCTAGCCCCACCCTATCATGTGACTTACTGAGGTCAAAGGACCCAGGATGTGAGTGGTCATTAAGGCGTCTGGGAAAGGAGCTGGATTATAGATGGCAGACAGCTGGTGTCGTAAGCCCCGCCCTCTGTTCAAAGATGGCCGTTCACAGTGGACATAGGCTGTATCCCAATTCAGGGTCTGCAGCCTTAAAGTACGCATTTCAAGGCCGATTACGTCACCGCGACGCGACGAAGGCTGTCCCAATTCAAAGGCTGCTCGAAATGCGGCCCTCAAATGCGGCCTTCATTTCCCTGAATTTTAAGGCTGTGGCGGTGTAGACTTCGTGGCCCAACATATCCCAGAATGCATAGCGCGGCGGTGGGTGTGGATAATTTTGCCGAAAAAAAACGGCGGATGAGGGGCGCCCGAAGAGGGAACTTTAAGTAAGTACTGAATATTATGTCACTTATTTATGTGCAAATGTTTACGAAGAACATTAAACATTCCTGTTGGCCACATGTCGGCAAAGTCATGTGACATTAGTGACGTTTGTACTAACTTGGTTTTAAAGCCTTTACTTTAAAATATACGCCGTTCAATAGCTGAGCTTAATCTTACAGAGAATGATCAAAGCTCATGTAGGAACAAACAAATGAACAAAAGATTTTCTCCTTCATTTCTGTCAAACACAGCTATGACACGTTTCCAGCTGTTAGTATCATGGTTGCTAGGCAACCTGGGCAGCGCAACGGAGGCTAGACCGTCCCATTTCACAAGCCTCGCACTTCCGGCCTTAGCGGTCTTTGAGCACGCGGCCCTTGAGGACCGTTGAGGCTGCGTACTTTAAGGCTGCAGACCCTGAATTGGGATACAGCCAGTGTTTGTGTCTGCCCTGGTCCCACGTCTCTGTTCCCTCTGTAGTGCCTGCCTGTGAGTCTGTAAGTTCAGTCTGTGTTATGTTTACTGTTTTATTTTGAAGGTCCATGTCTTATGTTAATGTATTTGGTTTTGCTTCCCCTGTCACGTTAGGCCTGATTCGCCCCAGCTGTTTCCCTCCTGTTGCTCATTCCCTGATTGCTCCCTCTATGTATTTAAGCCCTGTGTTTTCTTCCGTCCTGGTCGTGATCTACTCTCGTCTGTCTGTCCGTCCGGCCGTGTTTATTTTGGATTCTCAGTTTTGTTACTTTTTGAGTTTAGCATTAAAGCTGTTTTGAAGTACGCTCATGCCTCTGAGCGTCTGCACTTTGGGTCCTCCTTACCACCACTCCTGCCTGCACACAGCCCTGACTTGACAGTCTGGGCCCAAATCTGAACTCCACATGTAAATAATAAGGTGTTTCTCATCTGTCCTTCACACATTGTACTCTAAGTTTAAGCAAGCATTTATGCAATAAATCGAACTGATATACAAAGTGTGACCAGCGTGATCCAGTGTGAGAACTGCGAGTATCATAGCAGGACGTCCTTAAAATGTCTTGCTGAAAGTAACCAGCACACGTTAGTCTTGCATTCACATCGGCTGAGTCTGACTGGCTTAATGATTGGCTGTTATTACAGGCTTGTATTATTCATCTTGGTGTCAGGATGTTTCCTGTGTTACAGAACATAACGGAGAAAAGATGCCCAGCAGCTCGCTTGTTTACACCACTATCAGTGCTATCTGCAGTTACAAAGTGTGTAAAAATACACTGCTGAAGGTTAACAATGACTCCGACCCTCTTCCTTAATACTAATAATAAAATGCTAAAATACAGTTTTTACCCCTAAAATCAGTATAAGATTAAGAAACTACCATTTACTTAAAATAAATTAAAAATCCACAATATTGCGCTCATATGATCCATACTTCCAGTTGTTAGTCCCGAATCCTGATTCCCTGCACAGCATCATTTCCTCCTGGCTTCCGGCAGTGTTCATCTTCATGTTCTTATAATAGATTTTTATGGCAGGCTGCAGTCATTGTGGTAATTTAAATACTACGGCTTTAATGTTTTTTCATTATTTTTATCGCAGGGCCTGCATTGGCCCTGTTACCTACCCATCATCTCAATGTTTCCAAGTCGTAGACGGTAAACTGCTTGCGGTACCGCTCAGTAAATTGCTCGGAGAATTAAAATCGAGTAAATACACATGCATGTTGTGAAATGACAAGAAATTCATATTTCTTCATAATGCTGTGACGGATGTTTTCAACGCTGGCATTGGCAGTTTAATTATGAGGAACAAGGCAAAGACACAGCAAGGTAATTATATCCTGCGTACGACTGGAGTGAGGCCACGGCTGCGACTCTAATTTCAGCAGCTCTGATGAAGTGCTACGTGAAAGAGACAGAGAGCTTCCCACCACCAAACATGTCGCCGCTGCTTGTAAATGAGGTGGGGTTTCATTAGTTACTTCATGAATACATTATTAACAACAGCAATAATCATAGCAGCCTCTACAGAGCTTGCACATCGCTGTTTGTGTCGCCTACTTTTGGAAAAACTATACTTATGTTTTGCCTTTAGAGTCCAATTAATGCGTGCTACTCAAACGGGCTGAGGTGATGAATGCAGTGAAAATAAATGGACGCGGCTGAGAAGGTAATTTGTAATGAAAATTCTCGATAAGTCAGCTAAAAAACGAAAGGTGCAATATATTTATCTTAGGCCTGATAGGAAAAACAGAGCCATAATTATTTATAATAAATGATTATGAAATGCCCTTTTGCATAGAGCATTATCGTTACTGTAAACACAGGTGGACTTATAGACTTAATATAAAGGTAGAGATTCACACTCACGGGAGTTGTGTGTGTAAACCAGCATAGTGAGCATTCAAACAGCAACATGAAACTTTGTCTTATGGATGAGTTCAGATCTCGCTCATGTCTGCATTTATACAAACGACTTTATCACCAGGTGCAGAGGGAATGGAGACCCACAGGCTTTAAAGCTTTTGGCAACCATCAGACCAACCTTCATCACACTAAAGTGAATATTTCCTGCTTTTCGCTAACTGAAAAAATGCTAATAATCTATAAATGAATGTTATTTTGTTTTGTTCCTTGTGATGTTGAAATTTGCGATGATAACTGGCCTAACAGGATGTC